GTGGTTTCTCCTAAGCATTCCCATTATTATTTGGGCACTCTGAGCCATTTTATGCACTCAACCACAGTGGTGGTGTTTGCACAAAGTCCTAATAGACCATATTCTGCAAGTCATATGGCTTCAAAGCATCTCAAATTGGGCACCCATCACAACCACTAGGCATGCTAGTGCATTGTCTACAATACTGGCAAAATGAGAACTCCTTTTTACTTTTGTTGCCCTATTCAGACACTTCATTGTCATCAATGTCCAAGGATATCCCTGTAGGTATTGTCTGGAGAACCAGTAATTTTCAATTACTCATTTAGGCTTGCACATCACATAATTTACGCTAAATACAGATCAGTCATGACCTTTTGTTTAATATATGCCTTTTAATTTAATTTTAAATTCCTTTTAGTCTGAGAGCTACTGTAATTCCTCCTCCCAATTTTATAACAATTTCGGATATCCCATGTGACCCAGAGTGTTCTTAGAAAGTGGGTTTTTTCCTAGCAGAAATCTCAGGTCATATTTGTTATCAGTGAACTTAGATTATATAAATCTATTTCCTGCAGAAATCTTAATTTACTGTTCAAAAGAAGGCTACTATGGATCATACAGTTTATATAAAGAATGTGAAATAAAATGTGAATATATTAAAAGGATAATTCTCTAAACAGATCCAGTGATTACAGAAAATGCAGAAAATTCAGTAATTTAGCCTAGACCCCAATCTGCCCTGTTCACATGTTTACAAAACAAACAGGTGTAAATCAACAAAGTCCAAATAGGTTAGATCTACCAGATAAACTACAACAAGCAAATTACTGGTTCAGTTGGATGGAGAAATAATAGAAAAATTTAAATCAGGTAAGGGACTAAGTAAAAGGGCTTTTAGAAAATTACAAGCAGAATTCAGGCATCAATCTTGGAACTGATCTTTTTAGTAAAAACATTTTTGTTAACTTTGCAGATGGAATCAGTCAGTGACAAAGATTTTTTTACAGGAAGAATGGGAGCGCATATACAAGAAGAGTTGGAAGATTGGGAGGACCACTATAACGTAAGTATCGAGAAATTCAACAGTAAAAAGTGTCAAATGACGAGTCTGGACTGATGGAATTAGTAATGAGAGTGTCTGTTGGGAGCTTGTATAAACTAGAGTGACTGAAGAGCAAAAGTCCCAAATTTATCACAGAATGGCTATGAATGAGAAATACAATACAGCCATTAAGACGACAAATGTGATCCTTTAAATTTAATGGATCACATTATTTTCACAGAAGAGAAGGAACTATCTACATTGAAATACCTGGTGCCTTAGCCATGAGCTAATATCTGGAATATCCAATTGTTTCTGGTCACTCCTATTCAAGGAAAGGGAATTCAAACTAGAATAAATGCAAGCAAATGCAAGTAGGATGATCAGAAACAGAGAACTTTGCTTTTGAGAGGAGACTAACATTTCATTTTGTCTAGCAAATGAAGACTAAGAGGATTTAAGTCTCTATAAGCTTAACTAGAAAAATAAACTCAACTATTTATGCTGAAGAACAATACTGACATGACGTACAGAATTATAAACACATTGGCACAGACACTATAGTAAGCTTCACTACCGAACAGTTTTGAAATTGCCTTCCAATAGAAGTCAGGGCCAAATCCCAAATATTCTTAAAATGGACCTTTGCTAGTAGTCTAGGCAATTATATCTCATAAACCCTAACGGGGGATTAACTTCATGACTCAGCCCAATGTTCCTGTATTTGGCCTAACACCACAGTAACATTCTCTAAATTTCTCAAACAATATTCAGTAAAAGTTTCATGCTTAAACAGCATGTCCACCCAGATGCTCCTGTGTTTGTCCAAAACAACTGAGGCCACCAACTTTCAACAAAAACATTGCACATGCCCATTTCAGGAATGCAGTATTTTTCCCTCAGGGATGAGCCAAAGGCTTTAAGTCCTGCTTTCACAGCTACAAAGCTAGCCTGTTAACGCACACAAAAGGCTGCATTGTCCTACGTTCACATCTTCTGTATAAGCCAATTATTTACTTCACTAACACACACTATCCGTGCTCACAGGAGAAAACCCTCTGCTTTTCAGAGAGGAACGCTGCAGCAAGAGAGTCCTACAAGAAGTCCTTACCATAGGAGGTCTGTAAGTCAACCAAACAAATTATCTGGAAGACTAAATGTGATGATCATTCTGCAGTTTTCTTTTTTGGAAAGCCTTCCTAAGCTTTCTAAGTCTTGTTCTTTAAACCAGCTGAACCATAAAGTCCCAATACAAGCACCTGATCTGGCCACATCAGAAATGTGTCTCATTTAAAGAAAACCCACCACCATCGCCATTCCATTCGCAGCTGATCAGCACACTGCTTCAGGGAGAGACGCAAAAGAGGTTTTTTTTAATTCCCATAAACACACTGCGCTATTCAAAGGTTTTCATCTTTAAATTTAATTAAAGAAAAATGTCTCAAGGTGATTAAGCATGTCTGACTTCCAGCTTCTTTTAATGGCACAAGCCAGTGCAGTAAATTGTAGAAAGTGAGCTCAGTTAGAATTTTATTTTAATTTATTAAAAAAAAAAAAAAAAAGAGAAAACTCTCAAGATGTGAGGTCCTATTAAAAAAGTGGCTGTTCACTTGTAAACGGAATAAAAATGTTAAGAACACAAAGTGTCATACAGCTTAAACAAAACCACTTTTCTTAAGCAGTACAAGTAATATTACAACATCATAAGAACACCAAAAGCAGAAAACAAAAAAAAGGCAGAAGAATCACATAACATTACTTACTAAAATGATAAATTACTTACATTGAATATTAATAGCTTGACATTTTTATTGCTCCAATGGTAGTGTGTTGACAAGTGACTGTAGTAAACTGTCACAGTGGGACAATAATAAACATATATCTATGTTTTTGCATATGGAGTTTTGTACCTATCAAGGAAAGCATAGGAACTTTTTTTTAATTTACCAAGACCACACCAGATTTAGCAAAAATGTTTTCTGTTTTAAAGTCACCCATCTACAACTGAATCCACACTTCCTAGACTTGTCTGTGCATGTCTTTGAATACTTTTTTTTTTCCCCCCTCCTATAATAAAACAACTTCACAGATGCAGGTGGGGAATCAGTAGGTAAGAGCTTTGATGCTCTGCCAGTATTCGTTAATACTTCAATACTCCTTAGACACAAAAATTTACTAGATACAAAACCAAATATTTCCCAGATAAAAACTAGAAAGGAAAGTTAGTGTCAACATATTTATATGAAAAATTAAACATTAACTTGGTAGACAGTAACTGCTTTTAAAAATCTGCTGCAAACTTACACTACTGATAGTTACTAGTTCCCCTTTCTCCTTACTCTCTGCACAATGTTTTCTCTTTTGTTGGAACCAGTCAAGGCACTTTCTTTACCGCTTCCACTACACTTTGCTACCATTAATCTCTGTTATATTGCTACAAATTCTTTCTCCAATTAACAAGTATCCTCCATAAATAGGTTTGCCAATTCATGCTGACTTCTTATTGTCAAAAATGAGATTTTCAGTCTCATGAGATACAATTACCTCTGAATATTTTTATAATAAAGCAAAGGATGGCCCAGGCAAAAAAGAACCTGTATGCAGAACAGAAGTGCACGGAGTTCGCAGCAGTACTTACAGCTGCCTTCATCTTTAAATGAGGTATGGAACCTGTGTCTTTCAGATGCAAATATAATACTGCGTGCTGGTTTTGCATTTGAATGCAAATTTATCTACTTATTAAAACATGTAAATGGCAGGTTTGGCTCTCATATTTGTTACTAGTTGCTTTATGGCCACATATTTAAATGTCTATTGAAAGACAAAAAGAAGAGACCCTTTCATGGTTTGAAGACTATACAATTAATAATTAAGGACAAAGTAAAATGTATAGAATTTACATACTTAAAATGTAAAGTTTAAAAACTAATATTCTGTGCTTAAGTGCCTCGTGGTGCCCGGCAGAGACCCAGGGCAGACAATCTGCTGCAGGCAGAGCAGCCTGCGGCAGTGGATGTGGCTGGGCCCACGGGAAGGGGACAAAGGGATGAGGGTGGGAAAGCAAAGCTGCCGTCTTGTTCTGCCTTGGATCTCTGGTTGTATCGCAGCACGGGGTGGCCAGGGAGCAGCCCAGAGGGACTGGGGCTCCTGTAGCTCAGGGTATTCTCTCAGCTTGGCACAGCACTTCACAGAAACAAGACGAATCAGGTTGAGAAATTTTGAACTGAATACGATGAAGTCAGCACAGACTGAAGAGGATTTCTTTTAGCAGGGAGACTGAAGACTGCTAGGCATTCACCGCTGGCAATTACTAGAACTCTCATTCGGCTTGCCTGTTCTCTCAGTTGGAAAAGAACATTTTGAAAATATAGTCACATAAAGAAGAAAATAACAACCTGCTGAGATTTCTTGAGTTTTTTACACAAAAAAATTACTAACAAAGTTCTGGCATAGCAGTAAGAAACTTCCATTGTTCTGTTAATTAAGCTACGCTCCTTTCAGTTACTTCAGAAACTTATTTGTAAGGGAAATACATAGAATTGGGTGTGCTATTTCACTTTTGGCTTATACTGCATTTTTCTGCCATTAAGTATTTTCTCTGTTTCCAGTTAACACTCATCCTAAAAAAATAAATTGGAGAGAACACTTTGCTTGGTTCTGTGATAGAAATCTGAGTTTCAAGGTGTAGCCAACGTTAAATTCAAACAACACAGTAGGTTTTTATTCATTATGTTACAAATGCAATTACACAGGTAGTTGTCACCAATCTTACCAGTCAAATGAAACCTCTGTACTAAGTATACAGATTTCAGAATCTGAAACATCAGTCTGTGATTGGAAACTACTGCAAGCACTGGAGTCTGACACTCTTCAGCTGTACAGTAAGAATAGCACAAAATTTGATTCCAAGTAACAACTTGCATAAAACTGGCCTTCTGTAAACACTGCATACAAGAAATCTGGCCTACTACAGTTATTAGAATGCAATGGTCTTACAAATACTATATTTTAATACAATATTGCATACTGAAAGAGATGCAAATACATTCAGAGGAAATCCCAAGTCACCCCGGAACTAAAAAGCAACTTGGGATGACCTCACAAGAAGTCAAGTTGCTGCAAAGAAATGCCTGGACATTTACGATGATACTCATCACAACATACTCAGTCATCTGCTGTTTTTTCTTTGATTTCTTATTTCTAGTTAGGAAAGGGAGGGAACTTGCATCCATTTTCATCTGCTTACTATTATCAAGTGGTCTTGCTTAGGCCAGCCATTACAGGAAGTTTTTCTACAATTACTTCCCTTCCTGAGATCAGGCAAACAGGGAAGAATCCAAAAATACTTGTGAATTCCACAAGGCATTTGTGGCTCTTCAGACTGTGCCTGAACGCCAAAACATATGCATGAACCCCTTCAACTGATCCACTTCCTCCCATCAGCATATTTTGAAACACTACTCTGATTTAGATAAAGTTTATTACCACTGGAAAGGATGCCGTGTCACGTAACTGTTAAAATGTTGAAGTACTATCACACTACAAAAATAATGAAAGTGCTACTTCCGCTTAGATTTGGCTGTTCCAAATTCTTCTCTTTAGTAACGAAGGTCTCCAATTATGAAACATTTTTTTCCTTACTTAAAAAACAAAAAAAAACTTGACATCCATACATTCCTAACTTAAAAAGAGGCTTTAGGATATTTTGCTAATAGCAGCTGCCATCTACCCCATAAGATGAACAGTATTTAAACTTCCTATTTCAGGTGCTACAAACAACACCTGAAATACTTTAAAAAAAAAAAAAAAGAAGACAGAAATGCTATGCATTTTTCATCCATTTACTAAACAAAGTGCAACTGAGCCCTACACATCTGATAGTATGTACAAACTCATTATGGCTTTACCATAAAAACAGCATGTGAATGGGTCTATACAATCAGAGGAATACTAGCAAATGTAATGAATAAAACGATGTCGGACTGTTGGCAATAGAATAAGAGCTATATTACATTCTGTAAACCTTGGCATACCACACTTTACATTATGCAAAGAGTCAATATTTACAAATCCATAGTGGGTAAAATAATTAACCCCCTAATGTAAATGATGATTTTGCAAAGTGCAGGACAAAACCAGTGCTGTTGATTGCAAGTCCTATGCAAGCAAGTTATACTAAAATCATTACTACTAGACGCTTACCTGGACATTTCTATTGAGGGTTTATAGGATTGCGACATTTAGAATGAAATATAGTATGACACAGCATTAGGATGCATGTTTGAGGACAGCAAATATAGAAATTAATAAGGCAGCATGCTCAGAACAAGTTTAAGCAGCACTGATGTTAGATCCCTAGTGGCAACGATATCAGTTAATGTTAAAAATTCAGAGTGCAACATAGAAGCCTCATTTAACATTAAAAAAATGTGCAAATTGTTCTCTTCTTAACAAAAGAAAATAACGTAGCAAGGAAGATATTCTACTGAAGAACATTTTTAAGTCACAGCAAAGTAGACCATCTTCTTTCCAAAATCATCTACAAGGCACTAAGGGTAGAAAATGACAGGTAACATGAAAGATCAAATGCTGTTCCTCAGTCAGGTCGAAATATGGGATATTTTGGTAAGAACTCTATTAATATTACCTGTTGAAGAAGGGAAGAAGACAAGAACAGAACACAGTAACCAAAAAGTTCAAACCTTCAACACAATTTCCATGCAACATTAGCTAGTACATAAGACTAAACGTATCCGAGATATCCTGTAAGGAGGGAATGTTTCCCAGAATAACAAAGCAGAGATTTCAGTCATTTTGAAATAACAAGGCTTCTGGACACTTGACTTTTTTGGGCTAACTATCTCTTTTCTTCAAGCCTACACAATCTTCACAGCTATACATGAAAGTGGATGGGGGAGTAGTAGGACCACAGAAATATTTCGAATTCTGCTTTCCTAAATGGACTGTCTGTCTTGGTTAAAACTTTATGAAATTCAGAGCTAGCAAAAAAGAAAAAAAAAGATCCGGACAAAGAATACACTACTATAAAAATGCAATATTTCTGCACAAAGAATTTGAATCAAAGTAATTATGAATATCAATGGAAAAGATGGATAAGCGTTAAAGAACTATGGACTGGTGTGGGAATCACACCAATGCACAAAGTCCCAGTGGGTCTCCCTCATTACAAATTATAGACCAAAACAAGTGTACCTGCTGTGCAAATGCAGAATTGTTACGAAGAGAAAACATGCTTAGAGGTGACAATTTCCAAGTCTCAATATATGCCATGGCTACTCTTGTTAAAAGTGGCCTTCACGGGTCTATGTCAAACATGACTGCGCGTTTTTCTGAGAGATTTTTTCAGATAGGTGACAGTCTAGTAGGATTTTCTCTATAAAATCATAGGTATGTTGAATACCAAGTAACAGAAGTAATACTTACATATTCCATCATATTGCTAGTTTCGCATTTCCTTTTACTCAGCTTCCAGTGCAAACCAAGCTAAGAAAATAATTATCAAAGGATTAATGCATACCACAGCATTGTTTTGATGAGTAACCTAACAAGCATTAGCAATATCAAATTATTAGGATCTGGAACACTTCAGACACAGGTTTAAGATCAGTATAAAGTATGGAATTATAACAAGACTGTAAAATTCCTACATGCCAGTTATGCAAAAAAACCTACTATTCTTAAAGCTGAAGAAAACAAGCACTCTAACTTTTCTTACCTTATGATATAGTCTGTTATTTTCCCATTCTAATAACTTCTGAATTGATCTTCTAGTCTAAAAAGTAAGTCAAAACTGTATTATAAATGGTTCAGTAGCCAGCCTCATCCAGAAGAATCTTACTATTGCATTTCTGGCTTAATATTAATTTAAAATAAGTTAGTTTTATAAAAGTAGAACCAAGCAAAAGAGAAATTACAAATGCAAGTCCTACCACTTCAACTCCCCACACCTCAACATCAGATCTGCTTCAGAAAAAAAAGAACACACCAATGGGTTTTCTGTTAACTTAGGACTGCAACTTTCCCAGAATTCATTTACTTAGTAAGAGATCCTTTTGAATTTTGTATTTTTGCCTCCCGTAGCCAAGCCAACGAAATAGACTCTCCCACATTCTCTTGGCCAAACACTGCACTCACTACAGGTGGTCTACTGGCAACGTGTAATTTACATACATGTAATTTCCAGATTTTGCTAATGTAATTGTTATCTGAATCCTGAAAAAATCTCAACACCACAGAACTCCAGCTCACAACAGTGCCTGTATTTTCAACTCTTGGATACCAAAGTGCTTATGACCTTCATGTTCTGCTCTTTCCACAGTTGTGGGAGAGGAGAAGATTTTGGGAGTTTCAGTGATTTTTAAGGTCACAAAAAGACCACTGTGATGATCTACTCTTGTTACTGCATGGTATGCCACAGAATTCCATCCACCAATTTCTTTGCTAAAGCTAATAATGGTAGGTGAGCTACACCATCTCATTAAAAAAAAGATACAAAGCTATCCAATCCCGAGTCAAAGACTTAGTGGTGGACAATCCACCACTTCTTTGTAAGTTTTTCCAATGACGAAGCTATCCTTGGAATTAAAAAGTACATGTTGTCTCCTGTTTCAACTGTCTTAGTTTTGTATTCCAGCCTTTGGATCTCATAATGCCTTTTGTTGCTAGGTGAGTGTACGGGGACTGGCTGGGCTGGAGTTAATTTTCTTCACAGCAGCTAATACGGTGCTGTGTTTTAGATCTACGACGAAAATAGTGTTGATACCACATCAATGTTTTAGCTATTGCTGAACAGCATTGACCAAAGGGATACTTCCATACCATGTTACGTCATGCTTAGCAATAAAACTGGGGGCTATTCTTTCCAAAGCAGCCAGAGACAGGCTGCACATCAGTCTGCTGGTGGGAGGTAGTGAGTGATTTGCCTTTGCATCACTTGGGTTTTCTTCCCTTTTTCTCCTTTGCTTATTAAACTGTCTTTATCTCAACACATGAGTTTTTCTTACTTTTGCTCTTCTGATTCTCTCCCCCATCCTGCTTGGGGTGGGGGGGATGAGTAAGCAAGTGGCTGGTGGGTGCTTAGTTGCTGGCTGGGTTCAACCACCACAAGAGAAAATTAAAACCCATCTTATACTTGTGATTATTAGAGTGATCAAATTGCTCTAATGTATGTACACACATACCCACAGAAGTAACATGATCTTCCCTACTCCTACTTGATACATATTATTTGTACCCTTGAGAATTATATTAACGCTACAACATCACATGGGCATTTATTTAGATTTTCATTAGCACAAGAATATTAAATATGGTTTTAAAACTGCAAATATTCCATCTGTGTATCTCAAGCATATTCCTCTGCAATAAGAACGTTTATACAGGCAGTTAAAATGAGCTAAAACAAGCCGTGTAACTTTTTAGTAATATAGGCTTCGGTGATTAGCAGTTCAACAAGTTAACATATTATGCCTTTAGTGCATTTCATTTTTTTTTAACCAAAACCTCAATGCCAGTCAATGCAACTGTTATTTTCTTGAGCAAGTTGGAGAGTTTGGCAAAACACTTCTGTTTTATTTTCTCTGAAAAGCAATGCCTATTCCTAGTTTTTGCTTTCAGTTTGTTTTATTAAAGATCATAAACTCTCAAAAGCCAGAAGTATTACTTTTTAACAGATTTTTACTTAAGATCTTTTCCTGTAATTAAATTGACAAGCATGAGAGTTTTTTTTGCTCGTGCACCTACAAACTATTTACATTAGTGGATAATAAGACTTATAGCCATAAATCTTACAAACTATGTAGCTGCAAAGAGTATCATTACACTATACCTATTTATGTATTTCCTAAACATTCATTGCTGTGATAATAAACTCTAAATGTAAACCATAGAAGTAATTAGGATCATGTGTACTTGATATTGCTAAAGTGCTTTTCAGAATTATTACTTTGGAACTGATTACAAGAGTTGTCAATTTTCTGTTGAGAAAAATTAAAAGCATAAAAAAAGGGAAGTCTTTAAACTTCCTGAATAGAAAACAAATTTGTGTTTGTTCTTCATAGCAACAGCACAGTAAAACATGTCAAATAAACCACAGCTCAGAAATGTTATGGTAACTATGACATACAAAAAAGTGATTTTTTTAATTCAAAAAATATTTATTCTGGGGGGGGTGGGGGGTGAAGAGGAAAAGTAATTTTTACTCCAGTTCAGTCTTTGAAGGTCAATGTCCAGTTCTGCACTCATTTAATTCAATTCTTAGACCTTTAGAAATCCTGGAAATTCAGGTATCACATACTCCATCCTGTTCTTCGAACCAAAATGGGATTAGCTATTCCTAAGACTATTAATTCAATTGGTAATTTGGTATCATTTACTTCATCAACAAACATATTTTTTCTATTTTCTAAGGAAGGGAAAATGGAATACTCTTTGGAATGCAAGTGAGACAAAAAAAGGGTTTTGAAATGGGGATGATACTATTAAACATTATTTAATGTTATCAGTAATTGCAAAATAAATAGAATAAGAAGAATGAAACATGTACTTACTCTTTTGTTAAGACAGACTACAGGCCACAGGCTACAGCCCAGTGTGCAGCAGCAACACAGACAGCCACAAAGCAGCCATTTTACATTGACAGGGAGATTCTTTCTTAAACAGGCATTCACACGACTGATACTGGTCTTGAATTCTTCCGGGGCAACCTGCAATAGAAGTGCTGAACTTCAGTGGAAAGCCATTACAGGTGTATTTTCTCAATAATTGCCTCTACAGGTTAAAATGTAAATGAAACATAATACCATTATACAGTATGACCCCATCTTCTAAAACACTGGTCACCCAGTGAGCATGAGAAGTCACTTTCCTATAACAACTTCATTTATGGTGCATGCTTTGCAAAAACTTGCGTTAAAAAGCTAAACATTGCTTAGATGAACAGCCTCATCCTTATTTATTGCACCATTAATAAATCAATTGTCCTCATAACATAGTGGCCCCAAACAAAACTAGAAGTGGGCACAGCTGTGCAACATATGCACTGGCTATGCCAACCAAAAAACAAAAAGGAAGAATGACAGATAACTGGTTTCCAAGGGAATGTGGGACAGCTTCGTAGTAAAAACACTTGTGTGTCACATAGAAAAAAGGATAATATTGTCCAAATTAATTTCATACCAATGCAAGTCTACATTGTGCCTGGGTGAAGGTGGACCTCTGTCCACAAATAAATTCCTGAAGTGGTCCATTATCAACACGAGGCCACAACTTCACTTGTGGCTGCTTCCTAAAATAGGGAATTATACTGGATTATATTCAAGGCAAAGAAATGCATCTTGTACAGGATTATGTTGAAAACGAACTTATTTAAATTAAGGAATATTCAGCAGAGCTTACTCAAAATAATATTTTCTATATATTGCCACTGTAGAGTCACAGTGGAAAACCGCATTTTCTATGAGAAATAAGCTGCTTTCTCTGATAGAAGCATGTTTCTTACAAGAGAGTGAGAGCACTTGCCTATTTACATACCCCAAATCCCTCATCTCTCTACAGAATCTAAATAACTTGTATCTCGCAAGTCAAACACAGATTTGTGATACTGACTCCAAGATGGCACTCTTAACTGTAACACAATCCAGCATCTGAACGCACAAAGCAGAATAATCAGATCCAACTTCAACAGACTTGACCAGTCAGGCACAACAACTCAAAAAAACCCCAAAAAACCCACAAACAAAAAACCCCAAAAAACCCACCCCACCCCAAAACAAACTTTCCTAACTACTTGCCATGTTGAAGAAAAAAACCCCTAGAATTAGTCTGTATACAAAGCTGTGCAACTACTATATAATCCTTCCAACCAAGGAAGCCCACCTCTGTTCATTTGATTCTGCAAACAAGGGCAACAACAACAACAAAAGCATTAATTTAATGACAAAGACTCCTTTCACCAAAGGAGCAAAACTATGGGACAGGAAATGGAGAGGACCTGATTCTGCTACCTCCGCCTATTCACAAGAGCTAAATTCATTAAAACATTGCAGGAAAAGGGAGTAAATAAATACAACATCTGTTTCCTGGCCATTCAGATCACCATGCAGTATAGAGTCGGAGGTCATCTGGGTTTGTACACAAACCAGGCCTACAGTTAATAATGTAAGAACATAATTTAACATTTTGATTATTTTATAGCTGGAATTAATAAGTATACAGAAAGTATTTCTTTTGCAATTATACAGACTCCCCCCGCCCCGATATTAAACAGAATTTCTTATAAGTCTTTTTACATATATAAATGGAGCAAGTAAAAATATTTTCTTTAGACTGACTGGAACATCAACATTTAAATATATTTTACAACAGACATCTTAGTTGGGGGGAAAAAAAAAAGAAAGAAAGAAAATGGCAAAAAAACCCAGAAATCCATGTATTGTGACATTTTCAATGAACAGAACAAAAATCACGTTGCAATGTGGAAAACTAGCCTGTACTTGCATTTATCTGAAACAGAAGGTTTTACAGATCTCTTTGGCAATGCTGACTCTTGTATTTAGGATACCACAAGTATCAGGTGCACGTGAGTAAGACCATTTCATCTTCAATGGGGGAGCAAGTTTTGTAGTAAAGTACAATTGGGTTGGTTGTATGCAGTACAGGTAACATTGTACGGCTTCTGTACTGAGACATGCTTCAAAGTAAATTGAGATTACGTACATTAACAAATTAGCATTGTCAGCTCTTAAGGAAGTTTACCAGTTCTTAACACAGATGTACACAAATGGCACTTTCTTTGATAAGTCTTTTGAAATTTGTACATGTACCATTCTGTTTATTTGAACGATAAAAATAAGTAGTTTTTTTTCTTGACCCCATTAGTACTTTTGCAATGAATCCCACTAAGAAAAGAGAATGTTTCCTTTTTTATTAGACACAAAGTTTACTGGACCTTGACAACAACACACCCCAACCCCAAAATACAGCTGTACAAACCTACCGAAGACAATGGAATGGAACAGTTTAGAATTTAGTTTAACATGAAGAAACCTTATCATCAGTGATAACATCCAACATGAAAAGAAGTCAACCAGATTCTTAGATCACAGCTGGCAGAAACATTTGGGACCTAACAAGAAAGCACTGGGATGGTGAGATTCCCTATTTCTGTGCTACTTTTAAGGGAGTCACTGTTCACATCAGGTTAACAGTTTGATGCTACTATATAAGAACAACGTTGAAGTACTCGCCTTCCTGTAGAGCATAGCACTGCAAATGGCTAAACTAGAAACCAACTTTGGATGCCACCAAGAAACAGAGAAAATTTCTATTTCAGAAATTTTGGTATGATGTTTACCTTAATATAGTATTATGAAAGCACCACTACTACCTGCTACTGCACCAAATACTTTCATGTAAAGGTGAATCTCTTAGCTGCAACATAGGACGAAATTACTTAAGATGGTTTTGGCTAACCCAAACTATTGGATATATTTCTCCCTTTGGGAAATGTAATCACAATAAATATTTCTGTCAGTCAATGACACATCTTCATTTGAAACTAAAGGAACCGGTGACCAAGATAAGCCTCATTCTGTGATTAATAGAAGCAAAACACAGTTTTGTTGCTCTAAGTTTACAGCTCAGTATCAGTTAAGCATTGTTACACAGTGACAAAGAATGAAATATCTGTAAATAAAATAACTGTTCTAATTTAATAATAAAATGGTACCCAAATGAACCAGTCACCAAAGAATTTTGTTGATTTTCTGGCATAATTTTAAATCTCATCTTTCTTGCAGATACAGATATTGAAAGGGTAATATGAAATGACTAATGTATTTCAAACAAACAGAGAATTAACAGCGTCTCCTGCACAAAGAAAGCTCCCTAAGAAAGTCTAATTTTGAGTAATTTTGGAAAGTCTCTTGGAAAGTTTCTGTCTGGGTCTTGAAAAGAATGAGATAAGTACATAGCTCCTGGCTGTGCAGTACACCTTGTAAAGAGACATTAGTTCCTTTTAGGTCTTTAAGGGAGGGTAAAAAAAAAAAAACATAAAAGGAAAGGAGGGGGTGTCATAATATTTTACAACAGGATGCAAGAGAATCTACAAACACAGGAAGAGAGCAAGTAAAGCCCAGCAGGCCTGATCTTTCTCCTTCAATCATCATGATCACAAACCCTATCAATCACATGTTGCAATGGGATCACAATACCAAGAGCACATTTTATGGCTTACATTTCCCTGCATTGCACAGTAATCTTTGGGTAGGACCCTTACTGTTTTAACATCAGGGCAGGAAACTCTGCTTTCTTCCTTAAGGTTCACTGCCTCCATCATTTTCTTGTCACCTGGAGCACTGTGAGCTATTGTGCCATATATCATGAAGAGTATTTTGTTAAAAGCTTTTAATGCTGGTTTTAAAAGAATTAATAATCCTATAAAACTGTAGCGCACAGAATTTAAATTTAGCTAGAATTTAAATTTAGGCCAAAGTTCAATCACATTATTAAAAGTTAAATATTGCCTCTGTATTAAGTGTAGTCAAATCTTTTCTTAAAATATTCCATTGAAAAGAATGCACTGTTCAAAAGCCTAGCTCAGTATTTATAAACCAGCTGAAGCTTGCATCTCATCCTGCAAGATAAATATTAAGTCAATCTAGCTGAACTAGCTAGGCCCAACATCTGACCTACCTGATATTTTCCTTCCCTTTCTTGTTTTATCCTCAAATATACACATTCACCTCTCCCCAAAAAAGCAACAAACATGTCTCAATTAAATATTTAAGATGTAATTACATGCATCTTAGCTCTAGGCTAATTTACAATAACTATCCAGACTCTGTAAAAACTGGGAGACAAGGAGATAGGGGAGATGGGTGAAGAAGGAGGGGTATTTCAGATTTTAAAAAAAGAAAATTAACAGAAGGTTTACTATTATCATTATGTAGATGGACAAACTGAGGGTCAGGAAGCTTAAGTAACTTCCTAAGACTACAGAGTGGCATAAATCCAGAAAGTTAGTGCTTCTGGGAGAAAGGTGTAGCTAGATAGTTTTATCTATTTAGGACTTTTATCATACATTGGATAGCTTTTCATCCTGTGTTTAAAAACCTAGATCTTCACCTGTATTTATTAAAAAGAAAAATTCCATAGAGAAATCTATCAACCCCACCTAATGGCTTTGTCTTTTACACTCCATTAGCAGATGGGATATATTATTAATATCAATTCACATTGGACAACAAAGCCATTAAACTTAATGTTAGACAGACATTCTGAATAACGTATGGCATTGCCTTAGCTATGTACTAATGCAAGTTCATTGTAAACATTTTAATCACAAACTGTTAAAATAAACAGTCACTACGCTGTTCATAAATTGTGATTTCATAAAAAGTAAAAATCTGTATTTTAAGAACAATAAAAGATCTTAAAGTGGTGTATCAATTGACTACAATGCTTATTACTGTGAATTATTTATCAGGGTATTTGAAGAAAACCTACTTACTGGAAAAAACTGAGTTTTCATTTTCAATAGGGATAAAGGTGATTGACTGCCACAACCAGTGGGAGAAGCAGATTATTTATTTCTTGCAATTCACTAAAGTATTAAAAACCAAAAAACCCACAACATGGTTTTTAATGTCTTTCATGGCAGCGTGTGGCGGGCAGTGAGAAAAAATGTGTTTACTACCTCATTTGATTGGTGTTTTCCCCTCACAAAAGGGAACTAATGTATTTTTAAAGTCTTCTTACTCAGAAAGCCCCTCAAATCCACATATGAGAAAAACAGGCTATCAAGATTCTCAGCAGAAGCAGCATACCTATATACAGCAAATCCCTGCTCATGTGATTTATGCTGTCACTGATTAGATCTATAGAACAAGAAGTGTAAATGCCAAGTAGAAGCAAAGAACTTCCTCTTTCCTCTCTTTGCTAGATTAAGTCCAAGCAGCCAACTGAACTCTAAATTAAACTTTTGTTCACTGTCTATTTAACAAGAGGAGGACAATAAAGTGGAAAATGTGACAGGCATTGACGCTCGTATTAAAAAGTGTAGGTTTGGGGGCTTGGGTTTTTGTTTTTTTTAATACACACAAACATATTTTAGAGAGACAGAAAGAGATGATACTAAATAATCAAATTAAGTTTTAACGTTTCCTGCTAGGTATTTTCTATAGGCTTATTTGTAACAAACTACAACTTGGCTAAAAGAACACAAAGACTGTTATTTCCAAAAAGTATTCTGTGGCTTTTCAGAGATCAGAAAGAGCTCCACAGAAAAGAATAAACCTTAGACATGCAAGGTAGTGAAATGCAAATGGTGTTATCACCAGCCCTCACATTAGACACTATGAAATCAGTAAGATGACTCCTTTTGAGCTCAGTGAGATTCTGAAGCAAGGCCAGAGCTCCCAGGCTGTCTTTTAACAACCAAAAACTCCAAATAGCAACCTGCTTTTCAATTGTATTGGTGTCAAAAAAGCTGGACAAATTCAACACAAGTATTTTATTCATTATACTCTAGGGTGAAAATGAAGGAGAAAAACCCCAGATGGATTTGGCAGAACCAGGAGACACCATCCAGCTGCATTTTAGTATATTTGTTAATATGACTCAACAGCTACCGCGAGAGGCTGCTGAGGTAGTGTAGCTGTATGGTATGACATTAGAGAAAGTAGTAAGTGCCAAATAAACTTTTTCCTCGCAAATTCTGGAAAAGATACACAAGGGGGACATAAAATGAAGCAAAAGAAAAGCACTAGAGAGTGAAACAGCAGAAAGAAAAAATATCCAAGAGAAAAATAATTCAAAATTTAAAAGTCTAAAAAAAACCCAAAACCCAAACTATTATGAACAGAATTTAGGACCATAACGAAGAATTTTGTTACTAGATTTCATTAATTAATAGCTACAAATGAATATTTATTAAAGATGACAGGACTTCTGAGAAAGCAAGAGACTTGTCACCACTGATTTTCAGAACTAAACAATTACTATATTTCTGAAAATACTAAAAACCTACTTAATTTGTAACTTAACACTATAATGTTTTGTTCCTTAAAGCTTCAGATAAAACAGATTCTCTTCCCAAGATCTGTCCAAATATAATCTCAAGGCTTGCCAGACATATTAAAAAGAGAGGTCTGGTATTTGAAATAATTTCATTCACAGAGGAGGTAGCACAAACGCCAGGTATCTATAAAACAAGGTTAAATGAGTCTTGCTTTCACGTAGAGTGCCTGCATGAAAACAGTATGATGCCATGTTGAGCTTTTCTGTGTTTAGCATGTCAATAATGATAGCAATCACTGGCAGTCACTTTTTCTTGTTTCAAAGTACACTATAGAGACTGGTCATCAACCAGCTAGTTCATACAGGACAGAGTTAATTCAACAGTCTTCAGTGCAGTGCTGGCCTGCACTGCGGATTCATGACCACGTATTTGTAACACAAAAACCACTGGACGCACTGGATCTTTCCATTTAAAAGAACAGTTTAATCTCACACTTACCTTCCCTGTCAGAACAGAAGGAAATTCTGTATCAAACTTGTTGCTCAAGCCAAACCTTGAAAACAAAAGAGACAAACAAAATATATTCCACCTAACTTACTTTGTTTCCCTTAATAAAAAAAGTAATAGATTTTGTACTTTAAAAAAAAAAGAAAACTATTAATTTCTTTTGCCCTTACATTTACATTATTTCATGAGCTTTCAACCTTTATATAAGGTCTCGTGTATTATTCATAAGGTCATTTATAAGGCAGAGAAATTCAGTTTGTTGCCTTACTTCAATACCTTCAAGTTGCTAGAAGAGCAAAAATTCTTTTACAATTGGATGGCAGTAAGTTTCAATCTTTGCTTTTTTTTTTAAAAAAAAGCTCCAGCTATTAAATTCCAGTTTTACTACGTTCAATAATCCTTTTACTGCTATTTTTCCTACTCATGCAATTTATTCACATGCAACAGATAAAGCTAGTTATAAGGAACCCATTCATCATCATCTTAGAAATTTATAACCATATAGTTTTAAAAAATTGCTTTGGGCTGAGTTAACTATCTCATGCAAAACATGTAAGAGCCTACAAAAAGAACAGTTTTAAAACAACTATGAACTTCAAGAAAATTAAGTCTTAGGTATCACTGTGACTATTCTTCACTGAAGTGTTCTTGTTATTGAGCAAGACGTAAGTCTTCATTATAATCAGCGAAACCTACAGGGAGCTAGACTTTGCTTGCAAACCTGTGTTACCAATAGCTCCAAAACTACTGAACCAACTGAAATTTCCAGAAAGCTAGCGTTGTACATCAGCAGGATACTGACAGTGCAGGCTGACCTGACTTTTTTATTTTATTTAAAGCATGTAACTAGGCAAGAAGTTAACTAAGTTCTGATGCTAAATCTGCTAGCTTCTGCAGAACAAGAACTCTGATCTTCCATCCCGTCTACCTCATTTGAAATCTTTAACCTTTGCAATTCAGTAATTTAACAAAATACAACAGCAGCTGGCATTTCAGCTACAACCTTGAACAGAGCTTAATGTTAAGTTTGTGAAGTTAAATATACTGGACATCAAGTTCACTGTCAGCTCTGCTAAGCTATCTCCTCAGTATTCTTGTTCAAAAAAAGAAAAAACCAAGAAGGATCACAGCCAAAAAGAAGAGCACAAATACATTTGGTATTGTAATATTTATTGTAGAAACAAACCTTCTGGAGAGAGAGTATTTGTTTTGAGTCAAACTGACACCTGAAATACCCCTTACTGGTCACTTATACAAATACTAGAATTGCTGAAGTGTCATCAGTCCCCTGTCATTATATGATACATACATACTCATGTGCACAGCATAATAATTCAGATATCCAAACTTGGCAATGTAACTTGTTTAGAAGTACAAAAAAATGTAAAATAAACCTTAAAGAAGAGGGAAGCATAATAAAAGAACTTGTGCTGTCTTTAGAAATCCAGTAAACTTATTAAAATGTTTGTCAACAATACTGGTGAAGTCCAATCAAGTTCTTCAATGGCTAATTTCAGTGAGAGCCTTGACTCTTGTAAAGAGCAGCATATTGGAGCACTAGTTATGTAAAACGTTAAAAAAAACCCCAAAGAGTAGATCTTAATTGAAGTGTTTCTCAACCTTTGTCTGTTAAGCTATTTTAAGCACTATAATGAATTGCCACTTATTTGTGTTTGTTTCATTCAACATATTTTCACTGAAAAGTTTCTAGAAGTGAATGTGAGTGAACTGAACATCAGCACAGCATGGGCTACTGCATATTCAAGTGAACTGGAAAGCCATGATGTTAAATCAGTGCTACAAAAACAAACAGTAAAACCAGTAAGATTTTAGGCAAGCACAAAGGTTACTAATATAAGCACATTTCCATTCTCTGTGAATGTAATCTGGCAAGTCAGCCTCCACATTTTGTAGCTTTTCTTTCTAAGCTGAAATCTTCAAAGTTTTGTAATACTATATATTTATTTTTAAGGAAGCTTGGAGATCAATGAGTCTCTAAAAAAATCCAGAAAAGAATAACGATATGAAACACATACACAAGCTTGTTTTGAGGAATACAGACTTTTCTGTACATGAGCAATGAAACTACCTGAAATGATCACAGTTGTAGCAACCAGACAACATAATAAATGAACTACTGGAAAGTTCAGGTAATACTGCAGAATTATTTACTCTACCCATACAACAGACTAATTCCACTAAATCATGCCAAAGGTCCACCTAGCCCAGAACACTGATTCTTACAGTGGCCAGTCGCAGATGCCTAAGAAACAGCAAAAGAAAAAAAAAAAAAAAAAGCAAACGTGTACTAGCATTTCCCCAGAATACTCTTCTGACCTTCAACAATTCATAGTTCAAAAACTTCCTAAGCCATAGGTAGTGTCTTTTATCTCATTGGTCACATATACTCATTAAAATTCCCATTGCACCACCAATTTCCATAAAGAATAACATAAATTAGTGCTTTTTGATTTAGATTTATTAAGAATACAAGACCACAATATATTTTATTACGTTAAATTTGAAGGCTGATAATGTCATGAAACATATTTAAGACCCAAAACTTTTATCAGTTGCCAAAACATTCCATTCAGTCATAACACATTCAAGAAACCTCAGTTACAGAAATGCATCTCTTTTACACTGACGCCTGCAAATGGCTAAAAGAATATAAAAGGTTTTGACTATACTGAAAACAGGACTATGCTACATTATAACACTACGTTTAGTCAGCATCACTGATGGCCTTTAGCACAGTTTTACTGAAGTGTCTCTAGAAGTTTTACAGACTATCCTCGAGATGATTTACCACATAGTTCAGAAACATTAAACTCCTATTAGATGCGGAGCGGGGGAGAATTCAAGAACCAAATAAAAAGATTTTTTTTTAGAAATGTTAGAAGCAGAATGTTGTATAGTTCTATAGCTTTGCAAGCAACTTTGTAAAAGTACTGAAGTGTTATTAGAATATTCAATGTAAAAAAGTTAAGACCTAAAGTCTTGATTAAGAGATAAGTAACTTCATTAGAACTTCTACAACAGACTAATGATCTAGCATGATTTAGCCTATGAAGTCTTCTAAAATTCAGTATATTTAAAAATCGCTACGTAAAATAAATTCCAGTACCTGTCCTTTAAATCATTTAAAACATGAGTTGGTGGTGACTTATTTCTGGGCTAGTTCTCTGGCTCCTCAGTGAAAGCTGCCCAAATATTTAGAAATTCCGGTAAGTCACCCATGTACTTTGACTGCAATTTTCTCGCTGGATGACAAATATCTCTAAAAGCAAGGCACCGCTTCCTATAGGCAACAACACCGGAACAGAACTAGGATGACTTCACTTTCTAGTTCTTCTGTCTCTCTTTCTGTGTTTTACTGTATGGCATCAGACGAGTCCCATCATCTCATTTTCCACCATTTGTAAAGTGGGGAGAATGCAGCTTCTCATAGGGAGCTATAAGAAGATATATTCGTAAATCCCTCAAATTAAAGACTGAAACGAACACCCTGAATCATCAGTTGCAAACCCCACCTGCAACATTATATATATCACATTATAAAATTCTTTCCGTTAGTTTACAAAGCATAAGGAAGTAAGGTTTCCTGTCCCCAGAACTGAAACAGGAAGATTTTGGAAAACACTTTCTCATATCTAGGGCGGACATATTTACAGGTGCTTAACCTTTTTTTTTCTTTTGACTTAAATAGCACTTCATTCTCCTTTATCCCACTACTGTATTTATAGATAGTAATCAGTCTTACTAGACTACACAAGCTAAACCCGTTTAGTCAACTCTCGTACAGGAGGCTCTCCAACCTCCTTTCAGCATGGCTCCTTTCCCCACACCTAATCCAGGTTACGTTTGACCTATCTCGAGCAGACGAACTTGGATCCTACATATTATTCTTTATGACGTATCATCTAAGCTTTGTCCAGCATTAGAGAATAAAGAAGACATTCATCAGGAGCCCTGAGCTGAAATCTCCTTGAACACTTAACATTTCTCTTCCTAGTCTAGGACCTTTTCCTATGAAGCCAATAGAACTACTGAAGATTGCCATGGATGATGTTTTCGAAAACTAAGTTTTTGATAACTAGTGGAAGGCGGAGGTCATTTGCTATTTTAAATATGTGGAATCTGCTATTTTAAATATGCGGAAGGTGGAGTAACATCAGACAATAATCAAATGTCATCTTATCACAACTGAGAGCACCTGGCTCTTCCCTGCCTTCCCTAATCAATGACAACATGCTTTTCACTAGCACCTGGATTGTGGATCCCTGGGGCACTCCTACAGAAAATATAATGGAATAACAAAAGTTAACTTGTATCCAAAACTAGGAGGTTAGCTGACTCAAGCAGGAATCACAAGCTGCATACTGAGGGTAAAAATATTAATGGCTATTTCATTACCTCATTACTATCCATCCACATGGACTTAATGATATGGAACAATTACATCAGATAAATAAAAACTTAAAACCAAGTTAGAGTTTGTTTACTGCTCTGGTTTTGAAAGTTATTGCTGTTGCTTTGGTAGGCATATGACTCAGTCTTCACTAAAAATGTTTATGTTGAGATATTTGAATACACCAAGCAGAGTCACAATGCAAGACTATGCAAGATACAGTGAAGAAGGGGTTTATAACTCATTTAAATGGAATTTCAGAAGCAAAGAAAAGGCATTTACTAGGTCCTAGTAATTTCTCTGTGCTATAATTCAAAAGCTTTCTGATAATAGGACTGATAGTTAATTTTTTTCAAAGTAAGAATTAGAGTGTTGAACAAGATGAGCATAAATTTTGCTAACCACTTTCACATATATTCTCCCTCTCTCTCTGTGAGTAAAATAAAACAAATACACTTTACATGATCACTCTTACCATGCACAGGGGTAAAAGGGTTAGGAAAACAGTCAGTGGAAAAAACAAGAACCTGCTAAAAACCCTCAGAAGATTCTTGGAATTTATGTTTAGTACTGTTGGATACTGCAATAGAACTATGTTAGGGTCAGCAGCTCACTGACAAGGTCATAAGAATAAAAACTCTCATGCAAGAAACTAATACATAGTTTGAATCTACTAACTTGGGAGTTTAACAAGAGGACTGTGCATGAAAAGCTGGACCAGAAGATGACCCTGGAATTAGAGAATTATCCCTCCTCTATACACCAAAAGTATCCAAGAAGGCCAGTGTCAGATGAGGAACAGAAGGCATCTGAAACAAAAATCCAAGGAAAACAATGGCTTTTTAAAAATAACTGGTTTTCTTTTTTTTTTTTAATAGAGCGTCTGACTTGTCAGGACAGAAATTTTTATCAGCAATGTTCCCTACAGGTTCAGAAAACAAACACAAGTTTTACTCGATGATGTATCTCACTTCAGTAACTAGAGCAGGCTGCTTCTGAAGCCAACTGATTTCAAAAGCAGCAGCATTTGTGTGATCAAAAAGTGACAGAAGTTCAGTGCTGATACATACTAACCAGAAACTCTTCAGGAAGCAAAATATTTCACATTTAATAAGCAGGTTAGGATTACATACTATAGTGTCCAGGGTTTATTTGCATTTTATTGATAACATCCACTGTTTTTATTAATATAAGGAGATTTTAAAATTCGTCATGAACTGATAAAAGCTGCCTTCTACCATTCAGGTAGGTATACTTGTTACAGGAAGAAAGCTGGGAGGAGTGGAAAAAAGGGAAAATAAGGTGGATGGGAATTCAGTTCAGGTGGTTACAAGTGCTTGTATGCTAGCTCATGATTTCCGCATCACTTGCAAGTATTGCTTTCTTTTGATGTAGACATCACTAGTTGACAGAGTTCTTGGAGATGCTCCTGCCCATCCCCAAAAGATGCTGCAGCCAAGAAGGAACTTTAAGGAACATGACTAATATACAAAATGCATCACAGCAGACAAAGCAAATAAGTGTGTAACACTTTTTCCAGTTTAGTGCTTAAAACCAGATAACTAATAAAACGGGTATGTGGTATTCTGATCATTTTGCTTGTGTTACATTCCTCCTTTAGTCAGGCCACATGCTATTTGGGATCAGGACAGAAAGAAATTCCATCAACATAAGCAAGTACACTGCGGTGCAGCAGAGCAACTACCCACTGGCACTAGCTCAATGCAAACCTGATTTAGACTTACATGATGGACACAGTATCAAATCCAACATTAGTTCTCTTAGGATGAGAGAGTCTTCCCCACCCAGTGTTTTTGCTGCAGATAGCTAGATCACACTGCACCTATTTACATAGAGAAATGTGCATTCTTTTATGCAATCCAAAGACAGACCCAAAGCAACACACGCTTGATGGATCTCTGCAATACAAAAATTTCAGTACCTCCCTCCCTGCCACGAAAATTAATGTAACAACCAACAACTTGTTATGGATGTACTGTTATATTAATTCCTCCACTTGCAGGAGTAGGAATATTAAGAAAATCCCTATGAGTAAACATTACATATAAGGTCACACAGTTTGCTCATCTTCTGTTCCAACTGTTTAAATGAGTAGCAAACATTCTGGCTCATGTTGCGTTCTAATGATAAAAACACTTAACCTAAACCAACCTCACAACTAAGTTTGGAGTAGATAAACTACAACACAGCCATGCGCCTCCTCTGCAGTGCAGTGCGGGGGCTCCACGGCTCAGCTGAGACAGAGGAGGGTCATAGTGAAATTGTTTGAACAGGCTGCTGATCCTCGCATGGTGTGGCGTTTACTTTTTATCTAACAGATCGTTTGGAAAAAGTACACCCAGGACTGTCAGGGCTGATTAGCTGCTACTTCTGCACCGAACAGCCAGCTGAACTTCAGTTGTTCATTCATGACTTTGGGTTGCCTCGAGCTACCGGAAAATAGGAGGTTTCCCGTTTTAACACGTTAAAAGCAAAACTCCTCTCACAAAACAGGTGACGGGGGGGATGGGGGGGAGCAGGACTGCAGATTACGGTAACGCGGGCAGCTCGCGTCCGCGGGGGAGGGGAGGCTCGGGGCAAAAAGGGATGGGGCTCAGTCCTCCTCGCGTCCTTACCCCATCTCGGCACCGC